GACAGTACTATCAATTAGTAAATAAAGTCTCGCATTTTATGCTTATTCGCAGTAAAAAAAAAAAAAAAAAAAAAAAAAAATAATTATAATAATCAAAATCAAAATATTAATATAAATTATAATAATTATAATAATTATAATAATAATTAAAACCACCATCAAAATAATTAAAATGATTATAATAATTACGACATTAATATTAAGAATCTATCATCATATAAATAAATAAATTATTATACAAGTTATTATATATAAATGTAGAAACGTAATAATTTTAAATACTTATATGTTTAACAAAATTTGGTATAAAGTTTAAAAAATTAATAGTCTCTCTTTTATCCTCAACACCATATTCAATATGATACAAGGCACTATATGCTTTTTGCTAAGCAAAAAAATATAAATAATATAAATAATAGTGTCTATAGCAAAGAATCAGATATATAAAAAAAAAAGAATACTTATCGTGTACAAAGAATTTGATAACTTGAATAGGTCATTAATAATACTATTTCGTAATTGTTTTATAGAAAAACGGCCTACTCTTAGTTTAAATGTCATCACTAAAGTAATAAATTTAAGAAAACGTCTAAAGATCATTTTTTTTGTGTCGCAGAACTATATCGTATATGTAGTAAGATCTTTTTTCATATTTAAAATTTGACGAAATAAACATGTAAATAAAGATTGATTGACTTAAATAATTATATAATGAAAAACGATAAAATAACGACTTACTTTTTTTTAGAGTTTCAGAGTATCCCTTTGCATCTGCCTTTATACTATTTTTTATACTTTTAATAAACTTTAGGTACTTTAAAGACAGTGAAAAATTGCTCTATCTGATTTCTTTAACTTAATGGATAAATGAATCGTTAATCGCACTATTCTTCGAAAGCAAAGGAACAGAGAAAATGAAGTATCTTATCAACGTGAATTACGTCTTGTCCTTGAACATAAGAAGAAATGCAAAAGAAGAGCAGTAGAAACTGTTAAAGAGCGTGAGGTATGCCTCATTCGTGACCGTAATAGAAAATACCAAAAAGTAACATTAGAAACTGATGAACAACATGAAAAACACCTAAACGATCGTCGTAAAAGAAGACATCATCTAAGAATTATTGATGAATATCGAAACCAAAATGTCAATCTGCAGTAGCAATTTAGTAAACCTCAAAATAATGAAAATATCGTAACCATGCATATTAATTTATTTATTACTGCTGCTGACATTAGTGAATCTGATTGGTGTATTCTATGCCAATTTTGCATTAAAATAAATAAACTTAAACATACTCTTTGCCCTATATATAATGAATGCTTTCCATCTATAGTACTTGTTAAAGGTGAATGTTGTCATTGCTATACTGAGAAGACTATACCGAAAAAGTTTTCAGCAGAAAACAATATAGATTCAGGTGAAGTACCTGAAGAACTTCAGAATCTCTCAGAAATTGAAGAGATGTTAATTGCATAGGTCTTTCCTGTAATGTCAATATACAGACTTCATGGGAAACAATATGGATACAATGAAAATGTTATTAACTTTCCCCAGAATATAAGAGAATTCGCTACTCATCTTCCTTGATGTCCATCATCATTAGACATTCTTATCGTATGTCATCAATCATTGAAATCAGAATCATTTAGGGATTTTAAGATTTATTGTGGCAATGTTACTTGCACATTATACTGGTTAAAGGCAAATAATTATTACTATACTAATATAATTATTGATAATAAAGTTTTTCAATCCTTACCTATTGATAAATACATTGATAATTATCTTTAGAATAATCAAATAATTATTAAAAATTTAAATGACGAAAAATATAATGATGTAATCACATGTACCTTTGTCCCTTTTCTTTCATTGACTCATCACAAAGATGTTGCTATTAGTGATATACTTAACCATATACAAAATAAAGATCATCCTATGGCATGGCCGCATATTAATAATAATCCTATTAATGAGTTTTAAACTTCAGGCTATATTGCTTGTGCATTCCCAACTCTCTATCCAATGGGATATACTGATCTTTGTGCAGAACATCTACTTCAATATAAAGATAGAAGATTCGCACATCATACCTGCTGGCAATATTTTGCACTTAATTTACAAATGCGATAGAGAGTATTATAAGAAGAAAAATAAATATTAGACAAAATTTTAGCAATTCCCAGCTCACAGTTACAGATATTCAAGAAATATTGCTCAAAGTGATAAGAATATTGCTAATCATATTATACGGTTTGGTGAGGGCTTACGTGGATCCCAACAGTTTTTTATGGCATGTCGTTGTGAACTATACATGTGATATAAATTATTTTGCTATTGATTCAATTCTCAAAATTCTCAAAAATAATTGCATCATAACTTAATTATTTATATATTTTAATAGTGACTTAATTAATTGCGTCAAATAATAATGTCAATTGCGTCAAGGATCTATGAATTTCAGCAACATATATATTGTGAACTATCAGATATGGTTAGGCAGATAAGTTCACATAGATTGGTATTCTTTACATTTAGTGTAGCTGATTTGCACTGACTTAAGCTCCACAAACTAATGCCATTTAGCAAAAACCTTGTAAATGAAACTGAACCAACTAAATATCATCAAAACATCATTAATAACCCTTACATTGCAATCTGGTTTTTCAACAAGAGGTTTGAAAGTTTCTTTAATGACGTGTTAAAATGGAAGTAGGATTTAGTAGAATGGTGGTATAGATACAAATGGCAACACCACAGTAGCATTTATGTGTATGGAATCGTGAAAAGACGAAGTGCAACTGTAATCGAATAGATGCAAATGAAGGAAGATGAGAATGTGATGAATGAAGTAGTAAGATATTTAGATAATCTGGTTATCACGATAAATCCAGGACTCAATGCCCCTATTCTTGATTACCATCCATGCCAAAAGCATTATAAAGAGCTATATAATAACTTACAAGATTATATTGAATTAATTAATAAATTACAATGATACACAAGATGCAGTCCTTCATATTGTCTTTGTTTTAACTAAGCAGGTCAACAATCTTGTAGATTCGAATATCCTAAAAAGAACATCGAGCATACAATTGTGCATGATAATGGCCATGAATAGCCAGAACTTGTGACAGCAAGAAATGATCCATATATTAATTTGCACAATCAACTTCAGCTATAGGGTTGGCAAGCAAATGTTAATTTAAAGCCAATTCTAAGTACCCATACAGCCTTGCAATACATTTCTAAATATGCAAGCAAAGCTGAATCGCAATCAGCAGCTTTCTCAGAAATATTAAATCAGATCCTTTATAACAGCAATCCTGACAATTCATTACTTTTCTCAGTTCAAAAGTTATTATTATATAGTATTGCAGAGTGCGACATCTCTGCTCAGGAAACCTGCTACTTTCTTTTTGATATTTCCCTTTATCACTCAAGTCACTTATTTATTTCATTAAACCTTAACAAAGAAGCATCACGATGGCTTCGTGGAACTGGTAGTGGAGAAAGTGAAGAGTTTATTAGTGATCTTGGATGAACTGTACAATTCCCCTTAACAATATACTGGAATCGACCCACTGAATTTGAGAATTTCTTATTATTTCAACTTAACTTAACCTATAAACTTACTAATAATCATTGAAATAAATGTAAGCATGAAAATATTGTATGCATCTTTCCATACCCATCACCTATAGATAACAAAGATGAAACTATTAGTAATGAGAATCAAGAAGAACTTGAAGATGATAAACAAGACAAATTCCGGTTTTATTGAATGTTATTAGCAGAGATAGGACCAAATGCAATTATTAATAATTCTTCCAATATGAGATCTCGTGATATGGATCAGAATCATGACTGGATTAATGATGCTAAACAACAATATTCTAATACTAATCTTCTAAATGTTGCTACTTTCTTATATCAAGCTTCCAGTAATAATCAATTAAAAGAAAATGAGAGTTTTATTATAGATTATCAAACTTTAAATAGAAAACAAATGACAATATTTAAGTGTATAGAGTTTCATTATAACAGCATACTTGCAGGCTATCAAATTGAACCACTAAGAATTATTATAATAGGAACTGCTAGAACAGGTAAATCATATCTCATTAAGGCAATCCGAAATCGACTTTGTGAGATAATGGGAATTGGGTCTAAGTCTTCCATGCTTATACTTGCTCCGATGGGCATTGCAACCTTCAATATTGATGGAATAACGATTCATTTGGCACTCACAATCTTAATAATTAATAGTAACAGTAATAATCTTGATATAGATGAAGAGCAGTTAAAGCAACTATAGGAAAGGGTAAAAAAAATAAAGTACTTAATAATAGATAAAAAAAGTATGATAGGACATCGAATGCTTGCTTTAATTGATATGTGATTATGCCAAGCATTTTCTGAACACAAAAATGAACTTTTTGGTAGCAGATCAATTATTATGTTTGGTGATTTTGGTCAGCTTCCATCTGTACTTGATCTTCCTATATATTGTTAGTATAAAAATTGTAATAGGGGGCATAACGCGACATGTGGGGCCCAGCGCAGTACCGCATGGGGCATCGATCATGCATCAATTATGCATGATTGATGGGTGCAAAACTTGTCAAAGTTTAGTACTTTTGCATAACGCAACGATAGATTTAGAGACGCATCGCAGTCATATAAATAGCAGTAATATTCAGATGTAAAAAGGAGAGAGAAGCAATTAATAAAATACTACTTTTGCGAAACCCAACTGCTTGTACCAGTGCAACGATAATTAATAAACTTACCTTATTTGTCTTTTAGTCATCCTAGAGAGGATCCGCCACCCTATAGTTTGACAGGGGAGATCAGAAGAGGAGACTAATTAAACCAAGGGAAAGATTAAGATAATTATCACCACACGTACCTTTGGTATCGCCAGCGACACAGACCTACTCACCCAATGTAGCATGAGTCTTGGTCCAGATTGGCGACAGACTCGCCGTTGAGAATAATATTTGATGGAGGATCTGAGTAGATCATATAGAGAGCAATGCTCACTACCCCCCGATATTTTGTGCGTACACCTAAATAAGAAAAACTTTAATTATTACCCATTGTTCGCTAAAAACAAACCATAACCAAAAGAGTACCTGCATCAAAAAAGACCCCGTGATTCAACTGTGATTGGATTACTAATTAATAAAATGGATTTCGGGATAGACGGACTGATAAGAAACGGCTTTTTTGGCGAAGGAGGCAACAAGTATAGAAGAAAGCAAGATAAATCAAGAGAATGTTTTAAAACAACCGAAGAAAGAGACATATCATGGGTGAGAGCATAAGAATTCCGAGGAGAAAAGGAAGAAGACCCATACGTATGGTTAGAATCCTACAAAAGGATCGCCAAAGCCAATAACTGGTCAGACGAAAGAAAGTTAAAAATGTTAGTAAGTCATTTGGAAGGTAATGCAGGAGACTGGTACGACTACCAACAACAGCGGTTCGAGTACTGGGATGACGAAGAGAACCGAAGAAGAAGCTTCGTACCGCTATTCATGAAAATCTTTGTAACCCACGAACAACGACGTCAATGGTACGCTGACCTAGTTAACATTAGACAGAGAAGCGACGAACAAGTAATGGCGTACACACATCAGTTCCGAAAACTGCAAAGGAAGGCCGACCCCAATAATGACCTGTCAGAAAGAGGAGGTGTTAGAATCTTTATGGAAGGATTATGAAAGAAGGCTGCCGCTATACTCACCATCACAACCACTACAACCCTGAATGAAATCCTAGAACAAGTAACACAAGCTGACTTGGATAGAGAGTTCGAGACATCCGGTGATGAGAGGGAGTCAGGCAAGACGGAAAAGCTGGAAGGAAGAATTCAGGAGTTAACACAACAGATGCGAGACATAAAAGCACAGTTCGATAAACTCAATACACCTGCCGAAAATTCGGAAAGCAAACCAAGAGTAATGAACGGAGAATATTATGAGTGTGGTGAGATAGACCATTGGGCCAGAAACTGCCCAAAAAAGGACAGCATGATGAAAAAGGTGGAGCAAACCAAAGAAGTTCAGTTCCTCGTCGTGGAGGATGATAAAGGAAAAGGAAAGGAAGCTTACGCGGGAGAAGTCCAAGATAACAAAGGGAAAAGAAAAGAG